CCTGTTGGAGGACGATGATCAGCGCACTGTGGTCGAGCTTGGCCAATTCTAGTAGCACCAAAAGTAGTAGTTTCCTGTCCAAAAAACAGCACCCGCTGCCTTGACTATCGCCACTCGCTACCTACGGTAAACCAGGCCGACGGACGTGTCTCGATCGATGGGGCCACAGAGGCCGAGGGTGGCAAGGTATTAGCCGATTTTGCAATATTGTGGGCAATTTTCATTAGTCACTTTCGTTGTTGCCAATGCCGGACAAGTTTAGGAGAAAAGATAACGGTGTCTTTCCTCGTATTGGGATATTTTACCTGTTTTATTTTTTGTCTTTAGTGCGTGAGGCCTTCTGTTCCTATCCGATTATCAAAATCACCACCACTCATGCGGCAAAAATACTACCGACTTTAAAGGCAAGTTTTTTGTTTTCCTCCAGATTGCATGCTTCGTTACCTCACTGACGCAAGCCTTTCAGACATCGAGGAAGTTTTAATCTTGTCAGGCTTACTGAATTTTTCCAAGAAACTCAATATCTTTGGAAGAATGGACGGCATTTTTATAAATGGACACTCACCTTTACGAGTTAGTCAGTTCATTGTATCCACAAATATGGTGTCTTTTCTAAATTGGTGGGTCGCCTTGGACTATCCATCCCGTCACATAATGGTTTACTTATTAAGTGTTTTACTGGGTAATACCGGCGAGGAGGCACCGGTCCCCGTGCTACAGGTTACCTGGCACTAAATTGCAGGAAGGGTACCGATTTCCTAATCCTACATTGACCGTGCCCCTAATTTCCCTCACATATATCTCAAGACTACCTGTATTAAAGGGTAATGAGAAGGGGGATGGGGGGGTTCTATCCCCGTATCTCTCCTTTTCTGTTACATTTTTTGACATTACTTTGTGAAAATAAGTCATAACTGTGTTGACGACAACGAACGTCAGGATTAGCGAATAAATGCAGTTATTCTGTGCTGTCAGCCACTGAATGAACAACTGAACCACATTTTACTGTGTAGTTGAATCTGATTTACTCGTTTCAAAATTGGCCTAGGCCCTTTTAAGAGGTCCAATTGAGTGCATCAAGAAGTTCGGCCTTAGGGTAGCGCTGGCCTGTTGACCATCTTTTTCACTGTTGGCAAAGATATTCTTGGCAGTCCGGACGTCGGAAAGCTGGTGCTATCCGTTGTGACGCGATAGGCATGACTCATCAATGCACTGGCCAGGCGTTTTTCGGCGCACACTTTTTCTTTAATATCAGGTAACGTGTCACTTCCAAGTAGATCCGCAAGGCATGTCGTAAGTTGCCTCACGTCTCCTATTCTGAGTTCTCTCTATACAACAAAAATGCTGTATCGCTGAAATAAATAGTTAACTGAGTTACATTTTACCGACGCTAAACACACAAATTATAGAGCTTTTTGCATTTATGTAGCGTCGGGATATCTGTGAATTACGCGACGTTAAAATATACTCGGTTATTAAATATATGCAATGTTGGAGAATACTGAGAGTTAGTATTCTTCCATGTTGCTTCTCGCCAGTACGTTCCTGCTTAGTATATGTCCTTTCCTACCACCGGCCATTGTCAAGCATCGAACCGCAACATCTTTCTCCGACTGTGACACAGTACATGTGGTGAAATTTATTTCACCGGAATGCTTGGTGGTCTCATACTGAAGAGCCCGATTCGTTGGGATGCTTGCGTTTTCTCGTACGGTCTTTTACCACCATGATTTTTCCATTGACACTTAGAGTAACCTGTGGACTGGTAATTCAAAAGTATGCATTCTCCTGCTGTGGGTAGCATATTAATCGCCCTGCCAGTAACTAATCTTACTCATTTCCCATCTCTTCTTCTGTTGGGGCGCATTTCGAGACTGCTAACGAGGTTTATTTTTCCAACTCCCAATTCCACAGACAGCATGCCACTCTCAGTGTGCATTCTCTTGCCTCCATTTTGACGTATGCAGTTTTAGGGAAGGCCCTAAGCGGCTCGTCCATCAATTACTTCCGCATTGCCTTTTTCCCTAAAAGATTCCTGCAAATTACGCTCGGCCAATTTTGCCAAGTGTCAGCGTCTCGTTGCTGCCGCATTCTTGTGAGATCTACATTAGCAAGCTTTTCTTCCCAACGTTTATCACCACATGCTAACAGGGGAGAGGGTTGCATCTGGAAGAGTGACGTAGGCACGCATTTACTGCTCCGTTTGTTTGCTGCGACTGAAGTGCTGTTCATTTACCAATAAATAACAATTCACAAGTGCACTTGGCTTACATTAAACTAAGAGAAAAAAGAGCCGAAGCCTTGTCAGCGACAACAGCTGACAACAGTTGTTCGTAAGTAAGCAGCTTCGCGTTGTTATATTTACCAACACTTTCTTGATTTCTTACATGTTTTCCCTTTGTTTGCTTCAGACGAAGGAGGTTACACTAGACAGCCTCCGGAGCCTCGTGATTGTCGCTGAAGAACGTCCGCGCGTTAGTCTGACTTCCCTCTTCACCAAATTCTTTGCCGGCCTCAATTTGAGTCCACGAGCAGTCAGCACTTCCTTCGGTTGTAGAGCGAATTTGGCTATGTGCCTTCAGGTCAGTTGTCGTTGACTCCTCGTTCATTGTCAAGGAGGTTTATGCTAAAATGTTTGTCTTCTTAACACTGTCAGCTACCAGCTCTGGGGTATCTTCAACTATTAGTTATTTCCCTTAGTTAAGTTGCATCGTGCGTTCCCGGGAATCCTTTGTAAACCCTTCTATGAACGCGCAGAGAACCCTAGTCTTCCGATATGAGTAAGTTATATTACTGTATCCTAAAACTTATGATGGCTCTCTGGGATTTGCGCATTGCGTTACTATTCCACCAATTACCAAAAGTCTTAGGTGACCCTAGGGTCTCTAATCTGTTGTCTTATGGTAGGTTCTGCGAGCATGCTTTCCGGATTGTACTTTATGATTGCATGCTGTGAATGTTTCTTTTAGTTCCCAACTGTTTCAACAGTTCACGAACCGAGTGCGTCTTTACCATATTAAACCCACTCCAACCCATGATAAATTTCACAATGTTTCACTTAAGGTTCCCACGTTTTATTTATGCATTAAGTAATTCAGCTTAAACGGTAAGTTTCGATGAAAGAATCCCTCCCTGCCTCGATGGGCGATTGCGCCTTTTGGGACATCGCCATCTTTCGCAAACCTCATTTTAGGTTACAAAACGATTAGGGATTTGAGGACACGTCAACTGAATATGTAGATGAACAAACAAGGCTATTGCGTGCAATCGTGCGCTGGTGGCCAATAGCCTGAAGCAGGGGAGCGCCAGCAGGTCCTTGAGGGACATAGCCGAGGACAGGAAAAATATATTTCTATGATCGATCGACGGTCACCGATCCGTTACGTTACTAAGACTATTCTGGTAGAATGACATTATCAGCATAGACACTAGCCGGCCATATCCAATTTCACGGTTTACAAGACCCGAGGATCGAATTCGCAACAGGCTAGTAGAATTCCATCCTTCTACCATTTAAGTCACTGACGCGTTGTCATGTCTGGTCATACGATATCTGGTCGTCTCTCCAGCAACTGGCTGGCAGCCATACAGTCTAACAAAAGCCTGCTAGCTGTCCAGACTACTCCATTATCTTTCCTACTTAGGAGTCTTTATTCCAGTTCGGGTAATTCGTTGAACGGAATTACATGGCAAATTTCACTTGTGCATTTAGCAATGCGCTTCTGTCGTGTTACCAAATAAGGCATCTGAAATACAATTTTATTTATTTATTTTTCCATATCATCGAACCATTTGACCTTTTTTATAGGGTGCCAGCTCTCCGGACATTACAACCGTTTACGTGGATCGTGTGAGTCTCCGCAATGATCGGGTTAACTTGCTGGAGAAGGGTTCGCCAAACAGTCTCTGTTTGATGGAGTCAGGCAAAGTAAGTTAGGAAGTCTTGCATGCCAACAGTAAAAAAAATTCGCTCTATCGTCCGCTTTTTTGCTCCCCGCGACACGAGTCTTGTTTCTTGTCGAGTGTGTAGTTTATATCAACATCCAACGGTATGGGCAATATCCATACACACATCCAATAAAGTGCGTGCAATTTTGCTAGTCTGTACACCCCGTATCTTTCTTGGCCCTCTTTTCTGTCATCCCGTCCTGGTATCATTAATAATCGTAATCTAGTCCTCTCGTCGGCCTTCTTTTCAGCGTATCAGCCCCTGCGAGCTTGGACTAGTGCGTCGCAAAGCTGCTTTCGCTGAACCGGACGAGGTTACTGATAAAAAACGACGGCGGAATTTAGCGCAACGATCCCACTTTCTTAATTTGACGTTTTTGTTAACACGGAACATGCTTAGTCGTCCTTAGATAAAACCGTAGCTAGCTGGCACTTATCCCTTAGTATATTCTTAGATGTTGTGCTTCGAAGTCATGATATTTGCCTGTTGTTAAGAGCAGATCTCAACCCCGAAGACATACAATTCTCGTTCACCCAATGTTTTTTTTCGTATTTTACTGAAAATGAAAGGTGTGAAATGATAAGAAGTTTGAGACCAGCAAGGGATTTTATTCGAACAAATCTCCGTTTTCTTTTTTTTTCTCGAGTATGTTTGTTCTAGCTATAGAGCGAGTTGATCCCCCTGTTTCACTCGGATCTGTTAGTCTGACAAGGAAGTAGTTATACATTTATTTTGGGGGGTCAACTATTTTCATAATTATTGATAGGACATCTCGTTTTCTCTAACCGATCACGATATTAGTCCTCTCTCTCTCTCTC